AAATCCGAAGGCGCGCCGGGAACACGTCGATCATTACATCGAAACGTTGGGCGATCCCGAATTGGCAGATCGCCTAACACTATTACGACTGGCTGACGTCGACGAACTGGAGAAAGTTCTCCGTGCGCGGGAACGAGCTAAGAGTAGACAAAACCGATCTGCGTTCGGGTCGAAATTTCGACAGAAGGTCTCGGCCAGCGCTCTGACAGCGCCAGCCCGTGCCGCGGTACGCGCGGTTCAAATGCATGATCCGAGTTCCGAGTCAGAAGGGGTTTCAGGATCGGACGCATCCGACTCGGAAGGTCCTGCAAAGGATTATCCTCGCTGCAGCAGAAGAGAAGTTGAGCAGCACGGGGGGCGCCTCGCAGAACCCAGATCCAGCACGTTCCCGAACGAAAGCGTCTGAGGGACCCCGGATCTTGGATCGCCGCAGCCCGGGAGATAGAGATCACCAAGATCGAGAGCGCTGTTCCCATTGTGGGTCCAGGAAGCACACGGATCTAGATTGTTGGAAACGTCTCACATATGAAAATTGTGGGAAAAGAGGTCACCCTACGGATGTTACGCGTGTCGCGGATGCGGAGCCGTCCATGAAGCAGGAGAATGCCCCATGGAGGAATTCTACAGTCAGATCCGCAAATGGTACGATCCGACTCGACACGCCGGGTTGTTCCCCGAACAAGTCGAGAAGATGTTAAACTAGGACGCTCACCGGGGTGGAATCCGGTACGAGCCGAGCGTTCTAGATATTGCATCTACAGCTATGTGAACAAGGCCACGGCAGATCGAGATAAGAAGAAATCGGATCTACGCGGTAATACATGTAATTTGCCTTCGTACACCGCTAAGATCGCGAGTCTTCCTCAGATCAGCGAATTCAGCGGCGACGGAAAACTCCCGATCTGCCCGACTGAGGGCGTCGGACAACGAGATCCGCCGGCAGAAGGAGCTACAGCGACCACCCCACAGAATCCTGACGACGAAGAGGAGATATATTACCATGACAGCGGCGATCCCTCAGCGGGAGACCTTGAAGTAAACCTGGCTGTCCTTCCCAAAATCCCGATATCGACGACTGCGAAAGTGAGCATTGAGGATCTGCAGGTGGGAGACTCCGGATCGGTCACAACCGAGGAGATCGAGAGGCTCCGCTAGATAATCTGGAAGAAGCGACATCTTCTGATCGGCAAAGGTATTTCCTTACCCCCGGCGGCCAAGGGCGTCGTGTGTGATATCGATGTTGGAAATGCGAAACCGATTGCACTGCGAACCCGGAAAGTGCTCACGCGATTTCGCGAAAAAGTCGCAGGTCTGATCAAGGGTCTCCTGGCAGCCGAGATCATTCGACCTTGGACTTTGCCATGGGCCTCGCCGATCGTGATTTTTCGCAAGAGTAACAATGTGTGTGCATTGACTACAAGTTGGTAAACAGCCTCACGAGATTGATCGTCTACCCTATGCTCCTGATCAGCGATCTGCTAGAAGATCTTGATAAAACACCATGGTACTGCTCGCTAGATATGGCCAGCTGTTTCTGAGTCGTGCCCATGACGGATCGGGCTCGCGAGATCTCGGAATTCATTACTCCGTTTGGATTATTCGAATGGGGTCGCATGCCTTTTGGCCTAAAGAATGCTCCCCACATTTATCAACCCCTCGTAGACAACGCGTTGTATGGAGGTTTAAAGATTTCGTCATCAGGCGATGTTGAAACAACAACGGACGTGTTCCAGACCGGGATCGCGGACGATTCTGATCGGGACTCAGTGTTGGGACGGAGATCATACATCGACTACATCATGATCGCAGCGGGATCGTGGGATCAAATGTGCCGAAGAGTGGAAGATCTGTTGGAAGCTTGTGATAAGTGGAATTTGTCGATCAGTGTAGCCAAGGGCTTTTGGGGCATGGATAAGATAGGATATATGGCACACCGAGTGTCGATCGGAGGTTTGGAGGCGAGCCCGAAAGACCTGAAATCGTTAATTGATCTGCCGTTCCCCGGATCACTGCGATCTATGCAGTCGTTTATGGGCAGGCTGAATTACAACAGCCGGTTCATCGAAGATTATGCTATCTATGCCTCGGTGCTCTACGAATTACGTGAGGTGGGGTTTGCAGAACTGGAGAAACGATAGGATCTGAGGGGGATCATGGACAGGAACGACCCGATTCCTCGCGATCACGACCCTCCGGAACTGAAGCTGACGGGACCAGTGGACGAGAGGTGGATCAGGGCACATAGGGCCTTCATCGCCCTGAAAACCAAGGTCGCGACTACCCCAATTCTCCGTCATTTCGACGAGGCGAGAACGTAGTTATCGTATATGCCAATGATTGGGCGATATCCGCCTCGTTGACGCAAGAACACAACGGGATCTATCATCCTGTGGCGTTCGCTAGTCGCATCTTGAGACGAACGAGTTAAATTACAATGTGACTGAGAAGGGGGTGTTGGCGTTGCTGAGGATCTTGGATCTCTATTACAATTTGCTAGTAGGACACGAGATCCGGGTCCTAACGAGGCATTCTACGTTGGGATGGCTGTTCAAGTCGACGGGATTGCAGGGTCGCCTAGGACAATGGTCCGCCCTCCTGGCCCCGTGGACGCTCGAGATCACGAAGTGCACGAAAGGCAAGGACGGAATATTGGGGCGATCGCGGCGAGCATCACGCCGAGGGCGAAGATAGACGATGCTCTGACCGAAATCGCTCCCCGGAAGGAACCTAAACGCCAGATCCAAGCGCCGATACCCACGGTGGATCGCGACGAGGAACTATGGGTGGTCAGCTTTGACGATCCGCTCGAGTTAAGCGTGGCGGGGGGGGGTTCAGCGCGGTCGTGTGGAGCCTGCCCGAATGGGAGGGGGTCAAGGCCAGATCGGGCTATCTCGAGAGCCTCACCGTGAATTAAGCAGAATATATCGGCCAGACCCTGGGACGCGACGTGCTAGAGAACTTAGATCGCAAACATCTGGAGGTCTGCGGTGACTCCAACTTAGTGATCCGACAAATACGGGGCGAGATCGACTGCAAAGCACCCGGACTGACGTTATTGAAGCGGAAGGCCCTCGATCGCCTGAGGAAATGGAATGCTCATGAGTTGGTGCATGTCAAGAAGGACTGTAACGGAAGTGCCGACAGTCTAGCAAGCGCCGCTCTGCAACGACAAGGTGGGATCGAGGTCCAGGAAATGACCGGGTACCAGGATCTGGTAACACTGAACCGGTTAGACAAAATCTTGATCCCCAAGACCGAAAACCTGTGGTACGAGTTGCAGCGATGACCACTCGAGCTGGTCAAGCAAGATCACATGCGGGTGGCATGCAAGAGGATCTGATCCGGGAGATCCGGGTCGATCGGATGAAGCAGGCCCAGAAGGAAGAAATCTGGATCACCGGCATGAAGAAGTATCTGAGTGGCTGCACGTGGAAGCAAGCTCGTATGGCAAGATCGCGGCCGACTACGAGGTAGATGAGCAGGATTTACTCTTCTACTGCCCCCCATGCCGAGATCGGGGGACGATCGCGACCAATTGCTGAGATTGGTAGTTCCCGAAACGCTGCAATCGGACGTCTTACACCACTATCACACCACGTTGGAAGGAGGACATCAGGGAGTATTCCGGCGATTTGGTGCCAGTGAGATGATCCGGCATGATCGAGAACCCGGCTTCATGTCCGATTTCTTCCGGACGTTTAAGAAGATCCTGGGACAGCGGGGCGTGCTACGATGGCGTATCGGCCACAAGCTAACGGGACTGCTGAGAGAATGGTGCAGACCGCAACCAGGGCCCTCAAGATGTACGTCCGCGATCTCGATCAGAAGGATTGGGACGAATACGCAGAGCGCCTTACTTTCGCGATCAACACGGCTCACGATCGGATCCGGGGAGATACCCCTCACTATTTGGTGGATGGGTGGGATCCGAGATCGACGCTGGAGGCTACACTGCCGGTCGGATGCACGAGACGGCGATATCGAGATGCGCGGCGATGGCGATATCGAGTCCAGCGATATTATCAGCAATACCGAGAACAAGTCAATGCCAGATTGAAGGAGGCCATGGCAGATCGGGCCGACCGACACAACGAGGGCGTCAGATCACACCAGATCGAGGCCGGAACTCGCATCTTGTTATATCTAGATCGGGTGAAGGAAGGATATGCGGGGAAATTGGCTCACCTGTGGCATGGGCCGTTCCGAGTCGCTGAGAAGATCAACGAATGCAGCGTCAAGCTCGAGATCGCGGGTACCGGGTATCCGATCTTCCCAGTAGTTCACGTGTCGAAGTTGAAACTGGTCAAGGATTTTCCGGATCGGCCGCGAGTGGAACTTACAGTAGATGAAGCGGATCGTCTCGATCTCGACGAGATCCTGCTCCCGGAGGACAGTTGGGTCCCGGATCTAGGGGCCGATGAGTATGAAGTCGAGCGGATCTCTGATGTGCGGAGTGGGATGAAGACGCGATCTGGTCGGATCTATCAAGAATTTATGGTGCATTGGGTAGGATATGATGAGCCGACCTGGGTCGGCGAAGCGGATCTCAACTGCGGGGCAATACTGAACGCATTCCTGCGAGGACGGGCTAATCGGAACCGTTTCAATGTGATGCAATCACATGAGGAGATGTAAGGAGGACGGGGTGAGGTTACCTGATCGTCTCGACCCCGAGGAATACCGGTCAGAGGAGACCGAGATCAGGGTTCATGTTGTATATATGTATATGGTCGCCGTCGCAAGAGATCACAGAAGACATGATGAGTTGGAAGAGAGATCACTTGGGAATGGCGACGAAAAGAACAAACAAGCAGAAGATGTGAGCTGAAATAGGAAAATGCGAGATCGACAAGGAAGAAACGTGGTCACGGGTAGGAAATTGGAGATCACGGAGGTGGATGAAGAGTGGAAGCTAGATCGGCGATCAAGGGGCCGCCGGAGGATTGAACTTGTTCACGAGGCGAGGTATATTCCGCGACGGATGAACGGAACCGGCGGATGAACGGAGCCGGAATCTCGGTAGTGATTTCTCCAGGGATCTGCTTGATCGGATTTAAACAGGGCCGTGATCAGGTCGGTCGGCTCGGGGAGGCTCGCTGTCGGCTGCGTAAGATTGGCCGCCCTGGAGACCCATCCGGGATACCAACGCACCCGATCCTGTTTTGTCGACAGGTGGAGGAAATAGGGATTCAGCAGGACGTCGATATCGGCCCACTGGGCTCTCATCACTAGCACAACCTCCCCCAACAGCTTCCGCCAATTTTCTCCAGCCCTGATCCGTCATTGACGCTGATCTTGGTGGTAGGTAAAGAGATCTGAGTCCCCGGCGGTCATCACTTTCGTGATCTCGAGGTAATGGGTCGATTCCCAATACGCAATCATGTGATCCTCCTCCAGGGCCGCATACGCCACGGCGATCCGCCATAGAGACATACGCTACGGCGATCCGCCACAGAAAGGTCGCTGCTCGCCGGTGTAGGTTGTGATCGAAGGTTAATGGAGTGGGACGACGCTGGTCAAGCATGCGCTATGGCTAGGTAGTTATAAGAGCCAAAACATTGACACCGGTGATCAACTCCGAGCGATAACCGGTTACGGGTATGGTAGCCCGGACCAGAGAGATTCGGAAAGGGGAACAGGAAATTGGGCGGGATCGGCAACCATTTCGTCAAAGTGGCCTGGATCATGGCTATGATCGGCACAGTTCCCACGATAGTCTGGTCCCACGGAGTGATCTCGGCCGCCGTGAAGGGCTTGAAGGCGGAATAATGAGGAGTACTCGCTTCGGCGGGAAATAACGGTGGGTGTAGCTGGATGAGTGAGCCGCCCCCGGAGAACCACCACCAGGGCTTCCGCCAGGAGACCTGGGGGGTGAGGGAGGAGGTGTCGTGGGGCCGTGATCCGGAGAAGGGGAGTCGTGATCCCCCGGGCTGCCCCCACCCCCGCTTGGGGTCTCAGAGTGACCTTCGAGTTCCTGGTCTTCCGGACCCTCGATCTCGGGCCGGTCCTGGTTAGGCGGCGGGGAATCCGGTCGATCACTGCGAGGCGTCTTGGGAGGTGGAAATTGAGGCGGAGAACTGGGCGGACTTCGTTCACGTTTCGGCATCCGCGCCGCCTGACTCTCTCTGATCCGGCTTGCGAGATGTGTGAGGAGCACATCGGCTTCATTCAGATCGCTCTCCGCCAGGTCTCGCAAATCGACGAGTTGGTCGTGGGCGACCTGGAGATCCGTCATCCTGCTCCCTCTCCTGAAGTTCCAGGCGAACCACCTCGAGATCGTCGTCCAACTGGGCCGTGCGGGCAGTCTCGGTGAAAAGATAAGTCTCGGTGAAAAGGCCCAAGCGAACCTGGTCGCGTTCGGCAAGCGCTTGATCACGAAGTCGAAGGGCCGAATCACGATCGACAAGCGCCCGATCCCGATCCTCGGTGGTCTGGCAAGTTGCTTGAAAGCTGGATCGCGATCGAAGGTAACCTGCGTCAGGGTTGCTCCGGCTAGCGTAAGATCTGCTAGCGCGCGGTCACGGTGCGCCTGGGCTAGACGAGTAGTACTGCCAAGGGACGGACCCCCTCCGTGATCCGGTTGCGTGCGGGTGAGGCTGGAGGATATCCGGTTGTAGCTGGTGAAAGCGGTGGCGGATTCAGACCTCGCATCGTCAGTCTCACGCTCCAAACCGCGGACCTCCTCCTGCAAGTCTATGATCTCGTCCAGTTTGAATAGCTTCCAGGCGCCGACGATCACAATCGGTCTCGGCGTTGTGACGATCTACACGGGGTAAATAGTTTGACGCTCGAAGTCGTTCCGTTCGGCGCGCAGTTGAAGGACCTGGGTATGGAGATTCTCCGGATCGTCACTAATGTCGTGGGTGAGAGTCGAGGTCTCGGTCTCAAGTCGAGTGATCTCATCTCGCTGGACGTAGTGCTGGAACGCTTCCATGTCCCGGATGTTGGATCGCAGCTGGTGGACCTGCAGATCGAGGCGATCCCGGTCTCGAACGAGTCAATCGTGCGTAAAGTTGCTCTGGCGAAGTTCACTCTCCAACATGGTCAACCGCCGATCCCGATCGGAGGTATGCGAATGTGAGCGGCGCGAGATCGTGGAGCGCCGCGACTGGTGGCTCGCGGTGGACTGCGGCCAGTCGGGAGGAGTCGAAATAGGAGGACTCCAGGGGTTGCTGCCGGTCTGGCTCATGGAGTTCGCTGGTGGATGAGTGAGGTGAAATACGTCCGAGTCGGCAGATTGTGGAATGAGGCCTGAAGTGAACCCGGACGGTCCAACTTTCAGGCTGAGGGCGGATGTGGTAAAGTGCGATCAAAATCTCACGAGAAAAGCAACCTCGGCTGCCAGATCGCGAGAAAGAGACGGACCAGGCGACAGAAATGCCACTCTAAGCCAAGACATCAAGATGATTCCCCAAGATCTGACGTGCGACAACATCGGTGAGTGATGGGGACTACGGATGACTCAAGATCGACTACAGATGACCCAAGATCAACCGGACTGTATGATGGATGGCGACCCACCCATATTGTATCGTGAGAATGCCGGATC